GGGCGCCGGCCACCGCTTTATTGCGAGGGCAAAAACGGCGGCTTTCCAACGGGCGGCGGAATGCAAGGGCCACGGTGGGGCTTGTGCCGGCCGCCAAGGTGCCCCAACGGAGGAGGCCCCGGCGACGGGTTTAAGGGCTTCCGGCGCGAAGGGCGGAAACGAAGGTGGCGGTGGGGAGGGCGGCTGCGACGGGGGAGGAGGCGAGGGCGGCTCGAGACCACGCGTGCACGCGGTCCCAAGGTTTTTTCTTTTTCGGTTTGCTCTGGTAGTCCTCCTCATCGACGCCACATTCAATCAGAGCCTGCGAGGTTAACCGAGACCGTGCTCTTCGAGCCGACGGCGTGTCGTGTTGTGCGAGGCTACGTGTGCGACGACCGGCAGGCGCGGTTACCTCGGTTACCTAGATGTCACGGTCATCGCCGGGGGCAGGCGAGCGCGGCAGCGCGCGCGGCAGCGCTGCCGGCAGGCACGTGCCTAGGAGTTACGGTGCGCCGGCATGCGCGGTTATCGGTTACCGAGATGTCACGGTCATCGCCGGGGGCAGGCGAGCGCGGCAGCGCGCGCGGCAGCGCTGCCGGCAGGCACGTGCCTAGGAGTTACGGTGCGCCGGTAGGCGCGGTTACCTCGGTTACCGAGATGTCACGGTCATCGCCTGGGGCAGGCGAGCGCGGCAGCGCGCGCGGCAGCGCTGCCGGCAGGCACGTGCCTAGGAGTGAAGGTGCGCCGGCAGGCGCGGTAACCTCGGTTACCGAGATGTTACGGTCATCGCCGGGGGCAGGCGAGCGCGGCAGCGCGCGCGGCAGCGCTGCCGGCAGGCACGTCCCTAGGAGTGAAGGTGCGCCGGTAGGCGCTGTCACGGGTTACCAAGATGTGACGGTCATCGCCGGGGGCAGGCGAGCGCGGCAGCGCGCGCGGCAGCGCTGCCGGCAGGCACGTCCCTAGGAGTGAAGGTGCGCCGGTAGGCGCTGTCACGGGGGTTACCAAGATGTGACGGTCATCGCCGGGGGCAGGCGAGCGCGGCAGCGCGCGCGGCAGCGCTGCCGGCAGGCATGTGCCTAGGAGTGAAGGTGCGCCGGCAGGCGCTGTCACGGGTTACCAAGATGTGACGGTCATCGCCGGGGGCAGGCGAGCGCGGCAGCGCGCGCGGCAGCGCTGCCGGCAGGCATGTGCCTAGGAGTGAAGGTGCGCCGGTAGGCGCTGTCTTCGGTTACCAAGATGTCACGGTCATCGCCGGGGGCAGGCGAGCGCGGCAGCGCGCGCGGCAGCGCTGCCGGCAGGCATGTGCCTAGGAGTGAAGGTGCGCCGGCAGGCGCTGTCACGGGTTACCAAGATGTCACGGTCATCGCCGGGGGCAGGCGAGCGCGGCAGCGCGCGCGGCAGCGCTGCCGGCAGGCATGTGCCTAGGAGTGAAGGTGCGCCGGCAGGCGCTGTCACGGGTTACCAAGATGTCACGGTCATCGCCGGGGGCAGGCGAGCGCGGCAGCGCGCGCGGCAGCGCTGCCGGCAGGCACGTCCCTAGGAGTGAAGGTGCGCCGGTAGGCGCTGTCACGGGTTACCAAGATGTCACGGTCATCGCCGGGGGCAGGCGAGCGCGGCAGCGCGCGCGGCAGCGCTGCCGGCAGGCATGTCCCTAGGAGTGAAGGTGCGCCGGTAGGCGCTGTCACGGGCTACCAAGATGTCACGGTCATCGCCGGGGGCAGGCGAGCGCGGCAGCGCGCGCGGCAGCGCTGCCGGCAGGCATGTGCCTAGGAGTGAAGGTGCGCC